CCGGTCCGTTCAAAGCAAAGGGTCTCTTCAACAGTTGACCCGCAACCCAAGAAGAGACAGAAACTGTCCACTCCTGCGACAACTCCAGTGTCAATGGTCAAGGAAGAAATCACTCCTGGCCCGCTTCCAATTACCTCAGAAGCTGCTCCCAATGCTTTCAACTCTGATGACTCTGACGGCGATGCCGCATCCACAGCAGCCTCCGTTCACGACACTGAAGTCAACTCTGGCCATCGTGGAGAGTCCACGTCCCACACCAACATTCCTCCGGGTACTTCTACACTTACGTTGACACCAAATCCCAAAGCACCAGCATCTCCCACCTACCGCATCCTTCAGTCAAATCCAATGGATCCACCTCGTGCTCCACCATTCCGTCCTTGGACCACCGCAAATGATCAAGAGCTGAAGAGTATGAAACAGGACACAAAATCCCGTCCTTCGTGGAAGACGATCGGTGCAAGACTTCATCGCGATCCCCAGGTATGCAAATTGAGATGGGGTATCCTGAAACAGACGCTTGGGATTTTCGACCAACACGGTCATGACAACCCACCCCTCGAACCAGAGGCGGAGGATTAACAAACAGTATCGCACTGTCACGCAGAGAAAAAAGCTGTCTTCATGTTTGTCATTGTACATGGTTTCCTTCCTGTTCCCTTGGTTGTGCTTTCCTTCCTTTTTTCCTCTCCTCCTTCTTCTTTTTCTTTCCTCCTCTCCCTGCTGCGTGTGTCTTTCCTTTCTTTCTTGTATTGCTGAGTTATTGTCCTCAGCAAATATGGCTCATGCATCAACTTATGGACGAACCGTTCCTGAACGTTCTCGCTCTCGTGACGATCCTATGTGGCACAGTCACCATCCACGACGTGGTCGATCATACGATCCAAGACCTCAGGCCCCTCCAGCACCTCGTCTCCGGAAAGTCCTGGCCATTGTGGACATTGAAGCGGTTCGTCCACTCATGACCAAAACCCATGATGATGTCATGGAAGCCACGACATGCGATGTCACACCATCTCTTACCAGGGTAGAAGAACGAGCTCTTTTCACTTACAATGTACTGCTCAATACCCATCGTCTTGAATCCTTCACTGTCTACAACCTCCTTTATTGCATCAGCCAGCACATCTGGTACACCTGGGACCACTACTTACCTCCATCGTCCATGGACATCAGATGGCAAGACGAAACTGGTGATACACTTGCTCTCCGCAACGAAGACCGACTGGTTGATCTTCTTTATGAACTCCGTCCTCATTGGACTGAAGGTCAAGAATTGGGTTTTTTATTTCTCAATGAAGTTCGACCGTTTACGTCTCACCTGCAGCCTTACATCATGCGCATGAGCTGCCATGAGGCCCTTCCCAATCGCAATATGCTTCCATAAGCTGGTCAAAAAGATTCCTTATTTGCTGCCTTGTTCCCTGGGCTTCCCATTCGTGCTCGTGTTGTTGTTCCCGGTTGGTTTGTTTTGTTGTAATTGTCTTGTCCTGGCTTCTTCTTAGCTTTTGGCTCCAGCCGTGCCATGACCAAACGTGATTCCCTGCTTGCCGGCTTCACGTACCCTTCATCTCCCATGAGTATGCCACGTCGTCACTCCTGGAGATCTCGCAGTCATGGACAACCCAGTCACACTGCTGCTCCTTCGAACCCAGACACTGATCCCACAGCGTTTGATGCTGGACCATCCATCCCACTTGCAGGCTCAAGTGCCAATCCATCCCATTTTGGGTACTCCATCACAGACATGGCCCCACCCATCCCAGCTCCTGCTGATCATCAGACTCCGATTCTTCCAAGACTTGATGAAGAAGCCTATCCACTCCAGATGGAAATGGCAGAAACCCGTCGTCAGCTCCACGCATACTACTTCATCGAGGTTCACACACCTCAAGCTGACGAATCCCAACCGGCACTTCGCCGACTCATGGTGACGGAAGTGGATCGACGTGGGATCCATAGAAACGGGCAGCCGGAGTTCTTCTTCAATGGGATCATCGGCCACATCCGTGCTTGTCGCAATGGCTGGATTGATTCCTGGACTCAGTCATCCCAGCTTGCCAATTATTGGCGACGTTATTTCCAAATTCCAGAAACGCCCCTGGATGAAAACTGGTATCCCTATCACCATGATGCTCCAGAAAGCCCCGCATCCGTAACAGGATCAGGCATGGAAGATACCGAATCCATGGTGGCCAATGTGGACATCACTCCATCACCTGTCCAGATTCAACAATTGGCAACCTTCTTCTGGAACATTCTCAACAATGACCGGGACGCCAACATGGCAATACTCGAACGACTCGAGGATCCAGAAGATGACCTGACAAGACATCCGGTTCAGATCTTCTCGGCAGCAGACTTGGCGCATATTGCCAGCCACCTTGCAGAATCTACCCGTACATTGTCAGACCAAGCACGTCACATGGAGGCATTTTCTGATGAGGCGCTCTGAGTGGCTAGAATAATTCAACAGTTCATTCATCCCTGTATTTTGAAGCCATTTCCGCTTCAGGGATCGGATAATAGCCTTTCACCGCTCGTGATCTTCAGAGAAAAGCCTCGCGGCAGCGAGGCGTGTGTGTGGACTATCTGAATAGATGTAAAACTTCTACCCGATGATGTCGTTTTTGCTGTTAGTTCCGCTTCGTGATGCTTTGTCAATTTCAAATGCAGTTTCCAAATCCATATTCAATTTAGAGCAGGGGGTGGATGCATGGTCTGGCAGTCATCCACCAACGAAGACACTGCCTTTCCATGGTGATATGACGAAGGGACGCCTTTGTCACGTACCTGCTTCATTTTCGGACATGGGATGTGGCTAACCCAAGAACCACCGTGCCGTTTCTTTTGAAATCCGCCCACACCGCTTTGGCGGTGAAGGCGTGCTTATTGGGGGGCAAAACAGCAACACTAAATGCTCAATGACATTTGTTAATATAGCAGTCGCTATATCAGCTTTAGCTGGGGGGGGCAAAAACGGTTTCGCACCGAGACCAGAATACGGTGGTGTTTTCGACATTTTTCGAGGATTTTTGGGTGTCTGAGCGCAAGAGGGTATTGAAATGGAATTTTGGGTCATTTTGGTAGCTTTCCGGCAATGGAAAAACGGCCAAAAATGAAAAAAACATTGTACATAGCAAGATTTTGCAGGGTTTTTGGATGCCAGAGCATTGAAAACACTGCAAAAACAAGTGTTTTGGACTGACGTTATAGCAAAAAACGTGTAAATTACCGTATGCTTGACTGGAAACATTACAAAAACACTGTCAAAAGCAATGTTTTGGAAGGATTTACTGCCTTTATGGCAAAAAACGTGTAAATTACCGTCTGTTTGACTGGAAACATTGGAAAAACACTGTCAAAAACAATGTTTTGGAAGGATTTCTTATATATATGTTGGAGTTGGCTACCGGCATTGGCACATGGAAAAATTGAAGAAAACACTGTAAATAGCGGTATTTTCAACGGTTGGGGAGATAAGGGAATTGGAAGCATTGTCGAACATGATGTTTTCGACCGGTTTTATGGCGACAAAAGTGTAAAGTACCGTGCTTTGAAGGAAACCATTGCAAAAACATGGAAACACATTCAAAGAACACGGGATTTGGGGGACTATCTAGGCGTCGTTGTCTAGCTATTTGAAATTCCGCAGCTTGGAGAGCCTCCAAGGGAGGGAAAAGTGAAAATTCCATAGCTTGGGAAGCTGTCACGGCGGGGAAAAGTGAAAATTCCCTAGCTTGGGAAGCCCCCACGGGGGGGAAAAGTGAAAATTCCCTAGCTTGGGGAGCCCCCACGGGGGGGAAAAGTGAAAATTCCCTAGCTTGGGGAGCCCCCACGGGGGGGAAAAGTGAAAATTCCCTAGCTTGGGGAGCCCCCACGGGGGGGAAAAGTGAAAATTCCCTAGCTTGGGGAGCCCCCACGGGGGGGGAAAGTGAAAATTCCCTAGCTTGGGGAGCCCCCACGGGGGGGAAAGTGAAAATTCTTAGCTTGGGGAGCCCCCACGGGGGAAAACCACCCTTAGCCCCTCTCACGGACCGAAATAAACCTGCGGTGTGGGCGGCCACCCCACGCGAAGCGGGGTGAATATTCAATTTACTGCACTGTTGTCGCAATCTGGAATTACTTTCGATCAAATATGTATGGCTCCGCTTCATCAGAACCTTCCTCAGAGCAAGGACGTAGAAAGCTTACTTCGCACTGAAGTTCACGCTGGGTCAACCAATTTTCCTCAGTTTTTTAATGGACTGTTTTGTGCACGTGAGATGCATTCCACAACAAAATTCGCAATGACGTTTCTGAGCAAGAGTGTGTGTGTGTGGAACGTTTGAACAGACGTAAACCTTTGCGGGCTGCTTATATGATTATTAATACTTTTTTTTGCAGGGGATCACCAGGGGGGCGGTGATCAACGAAGACACCTCCCCGGGACCCGTGTAAACGTACCTGCGGGGCTTTGGTGGTGCACGTGGGCGCATTTAAGTCGCAGCCGGTGGCCACCATCACCCCATATATCCATATATATATATATATATTCTGGCCATTATTTATATATATATACATATATATACATATATTCTGGCAATTTTATATATATATATGTGTGTGTGTGTCTATCTATCTATCTATCGATCGATCGATCTATCTATCTTGTCTAATTGTAGTAGAACCCTACATCATGATGGGCCTGCAACCCACTGGACCCACGAGAGTCAACCTGGAAGTAATTGTACCATCCTCCAAAGGACTTACTCCTGCCATGTGGGGGATTCAGTTCCCGACAGGTCATTCTAATGATCCAGTTCTTTTGTAGTGGGTGGGTGGGTGGGTGGGTGTGCGTCTTTCCTTTTGCCCTCTGTCAGACACGAAAGTGTAGAAATGAAGCACAATATGCATCATGCCTGGCATGTGTACCAGTAGTCCTTCCACCCCTCGTGTGCGGACATATACATTGAAAGCAACCAAGACATCTCCACCGTGGAAGCTTTGAATGTTTGCAC